CAATGGCTATTCTTTCCATTGGTGCACCATCTTGATATAACTTCATTGGAGCACGTCCCTTATGCTTGAGTCCCATTTTTTTAACATGTACTGCATGTCCTGCACCATTCTTCCACATCTTGCCTCATACCTATTCAGTAAAATCTCTGTCATAGGTGACTCAATGTTTTCTTAACTCCGAGATGTCCTCCTGTTAAACTATCATGGGATTGACGCAGTACAACTTCCCGTAACTTTCTCGGTGTAACCGTTTGCCAGGTCGTCACTTTCCCATCTGCAGTTTCCCACCTCCGGAGAAGAATACCATCTTCAAGCTTCAACTGGTCCCATTGTGCCCAATAGTTCTTTGTCATAGGGCTTAGACTAGACTCCTTCTCTCAAGTAGGGCACAAAACACTTGCTTTTACAAAATCAATTATTGGCTTGAAATCTTGGTCTTTCTCCTGCTCTGATTTAATATCTATATCTGGTTCCATTTCACCATCATCAACTCCTTCAGTCACTTTGACTTCAGCTTGATGACACCTGGTTAGCTCAACCTCTCTCTTGCAGCAATGTCTGCAGTCCTTTTGCAGGGTTTTCGGCTCAGTCCATCGGCATTTCCATGAGATTTTCCCTCTCTGTATTCAATATCATAATTATACTGGTCTATATTTCCAATTCAACGTGCCAGTTGTCTCTCTGGGTTCTTTAATGATCTTAACCAGCGTAATGCAGCATGGTCTGTCCTGATGGTAAACGTAGCCCCATGGAGATAAGGATGGAAATATGTCAGACTCTTTACTATAGCAAGGAGTTCCCTCCATGTTACACAGTAGCTCCTCTCTGGTCTACTTAAAACCCTACTGAAGTAGGCCACTACATGTTCGTTTTCTGAGACAAAACTCCTCCAATTTCGACATTACTAGCATCACAATCCAGTATGTACGGCAGTGAGGGATCTGGAGTGGAGGCCAATTTTTATTTCAATGTCTTGAAAGCATGCTGGCAAGAAACTGTCCATTCAAACGTCTGGCCTTTTTTTGATCAAAGCATATAGTGGAGCAGCTATAATTGCAAAGTCCTTCACAAACTTCCGGTAATAGGTACAGAG